TATATATATATAAAACATTAATAAAGGAGGACATTTTTAAAGCATCATCACAGCTTTGTAGGCCTGTTTCATTTCTCAGAGACACATTAAACCTGATCTGTCTCCACTGTTGTGCTACTTTGTGGTACTTTTTGGGAGTTGGTGTTTTATTGTCTTTTATTTGTCATAAAAAAAAGTTCCCTCACCGTGGTTTGTTGCCCAGCATAGCAGCGACATCAGGACTGAAAGGAAACCCAAGAGATAAAGAGTCAATAGATTTTCATGTGTTTTTGGTTTAAATGCTAAATATCCACTCGACCTGTGGGGCAGTGACCTAAAGTGTCAGACCGATAAACAGGATGTGCTCTGTAGGGGGAGGTGAGGATGCAGTTTAACACCGCTGTAGTTTATCTGCACCATCGACCACTAAATCTGAGTTTTTAACTAATTTAGTGACGTGAAAGCGTGAAGCTGTTAAAATTTCACCTTAAACACAAAAACCCAGCTGGATTAAAGCACCTGCAGCATCCACCTGCACTTCCTTTTATACTGTGTAACTACATTTACTGTTACAGCATTTTCCCTTTTGTTATTAACACAGGTTTGAAGTCTTAAGTAAAAGCAAATACCTGTGGCTTCAACCCACTGGAGCCAAAATATCTTAAATATACACATCACATACTAAGGTTTCAAAAAAAGAGCATGTGGTACTTACAGAGCAGCCACAACAGAGGTGTTCGTCCCATCGTGTCACACAGATCTGAGATCGTTTTGTTCCACTGCAGCCCCTGAACCCTCCTCCTTCCTCTTGGTAGCAAAGTTTGGGGGGTCTGTGGTTTCTCTGCAGCACTTCTAGGGGAAAAAACTCCTTTGACCTTTTAGTTTTAAGATAAGTAAATCATGAGGTTTATTACAGCAACGAACTGAAAGTGACAGTTTTATTTTGTTTAGTTTATTTATTTATTGCATTTACATCTATCCTGCATTCTTTGAGGGTTGTATTTGCATTAAACATCATGACATGAAGGCTCTCTCTAGTTAAAATAAGATTGATAATAATAATCTTTTTTTAATACGGCCCCACGGGGCCGTATTAAAAAAAGAAAAACGGAAAGAGATCCACACAGAAACACGTGTTTCTTTGCAGTAAAAACACCACATGTAGGCTACACATCCTTATTTTCAGTGCTTGTTGTTTTTAACTTCCTAAGACCCGAACTCTTCCACAGCATGCATTTTAATTTATCTTTGATATTTGGGCACATTGGGGCCCGATGAATGTAAAAACAAAGAATTACTAGATTTTTTTTTTTACCTGATCTTTCGTTTCTAAGAGAAATGAGAGCCACATATGAGGATATTCGTTTAAAATTGCGATAGAACAATAGCAATGTAATGTCCTTGTAAGTGAATATGGTTGTAGAGCAAAATTGAGTGTTTTGGTCTAAATAACCCAAAATGTGATGCCCATATATAAGGACGCCAGGTCCTGGAAGGTTAATCAAACATTTTGTTGTTGTTACAATAAATGCGACTTCCTGTCGCTTGTGGTCTGAACGAAGCCTGGATGTCTTCATCGTCACAGCCAGTAGGGGAGCTCTGTAGCAAAAGAGTCACTGAAGCGCTTTTACAGACGCGGTACTTACAGACTTCTCTAAAAAAATAGTCATGTTTCGGTCATGGATCAAAGTTTGTGTTTCTTGCCACTTAAGATGGATGTAAATCCATCTTATATAATATAAAAGAAATATAAAAGTGTAAACTTTTATATTTCCTGGATGGAGTTTTCAATCTGGCTGTCGAGGCGTCCCGAGCAGAATGAATGGAGAAAACTCCTCTGCGATCAGACGCAGCGAGCAGCTTGACAGGGAAAACGTCCAGCCACATCCCGGGGGAGCGAGAGAAACCAGACACTTGTCTGAGACACATGAGAGCAAACTGGAGCCCAAAAACAGTGAATGGGTGAGTTTCTATTTGGTTCTTCTATCCCTTTACTTGGCGCAACGGCACCGGCAGCAAATCAGCAATTCCCATTCCATTCCAATGGAAAAAAGTCCTTTGACCTTTCAGTTTTAACCTGAGACATGAATCATGAGGTTTATTAAAGCAACAAACTGAAACTGAAAGAATAAAAGCCAGTTTTTAGTTGTTGGTTTTTTTTTTTTTTTTTTGTTGTTTTTTTTGGGGGGGGGGGTTATATCTGTCTTGTATTCTTTGAGGAATTTATTTGCATTAAAAATCAGCACAGCTCTTTCTAATTGAAATAAGAAAGATGATGATAATAATAATAATAATAACAACAACAATAATAACAACGCTACAGTGTTGTTTCTTGTAGGAGAGGGATTAAAAAAAACACACTTTTAACTTTCAATTCAATTTAATTCTATTTTATTTATATAGCACCACATCATAACAAAAGTAGCTTTACTGCATTGGGGCCTTGCTTGACCCTAAACGGTTGTTTTGTTTCCCTCTGTGAGGGAAGGGAGCTTGCTCCAAAGAGACAGACCTTTTTTTTTTTCTTGATCACGACTTTTCTATTCTTTTTTTAAAACTTGTATTTGAGGTTATTTAAAGTAGTTTGTAGTACTTTCTTTATGTGTTTTTTCCTTTAGAGTGATGGCGCCAAACACTGCTCACAGGCAGTAAACAAAAAAATCAGGAAGTCCCGAAGTTACACTCTTTGTTCAGGGACCTGCATGCAATCAGCTGACCTTAATAGGCTAGCAATAAGAAAGCATCATTTCAAAAAATTAATTATATAAAGAGTGACTGTGGTGATAAACAGGAGTTTGATCCAGGAACTAAGAGAATGTGATTAAGCTGTACAAGCTTACATAAGCGACATGTCAAAAATGAAACCAAAAGTACTTCGATTTCAAAACAAAACAACCTTCAGCTTTCAAATTGTGCGCGCCTCTTCTCGTTTAATGTCTGCAAAAATGTCGTCGGTTGTGGTCTTCTTCTCCCTTCACGTCTTACTGGCTTCTGGATTGAAAGGTGAGTTCATGCGTTTAGAGACAGGACGAACTAGCAGTGGAGGAAATGACTCAACCTTTGCTAAAGAACGTGGGCACTGCTTGATGATAGTAAACAATGCATGATTAATAATACCGTGCAGTGCATACATGATGTTGTTATGTTGCAGTGTGTGCATGCACTGCACAGTTGCATCGGAGCTGGTATATGAGTAATTGATCTGATGCCAAAGATACTTTTACTTCACGGTTTGACTGTACTGGGCGTCATCACCACAAACAGAAATGATTAGCTTATAAAGCACATTTCAGACAGACACAATTTGCAATGAAGAGGACATCAATACAGGTTAATGGAAATCTCACAACAGTGGCATGAAAGGTGTACAAATCCAAATATCGACAATGTTGATACCAATGTTTGTACTGATATTGAGATGATACTTTCTGTTCCTCTCCTGTTTGTAATGCTGTGGTTTCATAGAAGAGGAGACCCAGCTGTCTGTGTAGCAGCTGCTGCTCTCACATGTCACAGCAAAAACTTTCTATTTTCAACCGAAAATGTTATTCACTGCATCTGGTGACGTCATCTCAGCAAAATGTGTCGTAGGATACAGCATCGACGGCAGTATAAAGTCAAAGTCATGATTCAGAGGTTGTTCAGAGGGTGAGGAGAGGATGATTTTAAAATGTACTGATTAAAGAGTGTGAAATCATGATTACATATTAAATCTAGAAAGCTTGAATGCAAATATTGTACTTTTCTTAACACAATTTATTTTAAAGCTTGTTTGACTTAATATTTTGCAAATTTAAAACAAAAAGGATTAAATATGACTCTTTACTGTTATAGATCAAGCTGCCAAGCAGTATGTGAGTCAGTACAGTCCTCTCCCGCTGTAACATTAAAGCAATAGACACATTAATGAAACATGTATACTATTTGTTAATAATTAATAGTTTTATTACTTTAGGCACTTTAAGCTCCGAGTTTTGTTTTTGAAGTTGGATTGCAACTGTCACTTAAATATTTATTCAAGTATTGTTTTTGCTGCTTCATACCAGGTTACCATGGTGACCTCACAAGATGAGAGCCATTATTGTGACACTGTAAACTCTGCCCTTCTACTTGCTACAACTCAAGAACAGTTCAGTACTTGCTGTGATCCATAGTGCTGCTGTCAGAGGTCTCAGGTTGTGACTGTCTGCTGAAGTATAAGTGGTAGAAATGGAGTCCAACGTGTTCTTCTGCATAATGCATGTCCATGATGTGCAGTATAACACACTATTAATGTTTTGGGGGTTTTTCTCCTCTTTCTTTTTTCTGGACACAGAGCTCCGAGTGAGGTCTGGACAAGATGCCACTCTTCAGTGTTGGGGTCCCAGAGATGCACACGTCACCCTGCTGGAGTGGAGCAGGCCGGAGCTCATCTCACAGGGTTATGTGTTCTTCTTCCAAGACCAGCGCTCGTACGAGAACTACCAGCACGAGTCCTTCAAAGGCCGAGTGCAGCTGAGAGACTCATCCATGAAGGATGGAGACGTTGCTGTGATTTTGAGGAACGTCAGGGTCAGCGATACAGGAACATATGAGTGTGAGATTACAACCAGCAGCATCAGAAATGGCGAGAGAGTCGTCAAAGAGTTCAAGCACTCCATCAACCTCACAGTCACAGACACAGGTGAGTTTGTAGAGGTTGAGCTTACTGCACAGCCGTTTATAAGGTCATTCTTCACACCTCAGAGGTATGATGTTGGCTTTTTCCATGCTCAGAGTGGGCGTCTGTGTATGGTAAAAGCAGTGCCTCATGAAATCCTTACAGCAGGCTCCAACACTGGGCTCATTTTCCTTCTGCTTGTATGTGATGCAGCAGTTTGAAAAAGTCAATCTAAAGCTGCTGAATGGTATTTTTCCGTTTGTGTTAGAAACATGGTGTGAAACATGAGCACAGAGATGCTACCCTGCAGTTATTAACCAAACGGCTGCACACACATTCACTACTTACTTGTCTGACATCCAGCTCACTGCCAGCAGCTTTGACATCACCTCTACCGAATGTTACAGAGATTTCAAAATGTAAAACAAGAGCTATTTTTAGTCTGCCTGGTACCAGAGTCCTCAAACCTTTGTTTTGATTTTTCTCTGCAGGTTTCACAGAAGGACAATCCAAAGAAAAAGGACACAAGGATGGAGGAGACAAGGATATATCTTTTTTTGTTATTATGTTCATTCTGACGTGCGGACTCCTTGGTGTTATGGTTATTGTTACTGTAGCTGTAGCTGTAAATATCTACAGGGGAAAAAAATCAATCATCAAAAACCCAAATCATACCAACATGATGGAAAGTGAACAGCTGGCATGAAATGTGTCAGATCTGTCCCAGATCTGTTTTGAGAAAAACAAATTATTTCAGTTGTTCAGTGGTCCTTTTTTTAATTAATGCTCCTATCCAACGTGACGTCACTTTTATCCTTTAAAACCTCTAATGAGCAATCCATGCGTTCATCTTATCTCAACTGGATTACTGTAATTCGCTTTACTTCGGTGTCGTTGTTGATGTTAATTAAACTGTTTAATTATTACTTTGTGTAGCATTTCTCTTCTCTGATCCTGTAATCACAGTTACAACTTACAGCAATGTCATGTTAGCAAGTGATGAAACTAACAGCCTTGCTGTGGATCTCAGAGTCACAATACTTTATTAACGCCTAAGGAATTTTCCTCTGTATGTATTATTGTAGTGTTTAACTTACAATATAAAGCACCTCGAGGCGGCTGTTGTTGTGATTTGCCGTTGTATAAATAAAATTGAATTGAACTGTTCATTCATCTCAAATGTGTTTAGAAGTGACTTGAAGCAACTGTTTGGCGATGTATAAATTCTACAGAAAAAACTGAATTAAACTGAAATGTTTTTTGAGTGTGTTGAGACACATCCGATTTCATCATAGAATGAAAATGAGTGCATGAAGGCACATCTAGATTTGAGCAGGGAGAAGGTGTGTTTGGTGGTTTCCACATGAGTGATTTTCTTTGCATTTGTGGACTTCCTTCCCCTCGATCTTTATCTTAGTTCTGCAGTCTAAGAATCTGTTCTGTTCATTTTCAATAGAAATGAATTTTCATGGGTGGTGCTGCTAACAGAAAGTATTTGAAATATTTCCTTTAACAGTGACTAAAGTGTTCCTAAATGTCAGTTCCTAAAGTCCATCCTGTGGACAGCTTAGTTTATCTTTGTTGTCTCCAAAACAGATCAAATCTCAGTCTGGATGAGAACACAGATTTACACGACTACTTTAGAAATTTGCAAAGGTAAAAACGAATCGTTTTAGAGTGATAACATCTGGTTTTGGAGACTTTTTCTGCTCAATTGTGATCATTTCCACCACCTATAACACTTCCTCCTCACACCCATGCTGCATAACCCAGCTGCGCACTAAGAGCTCTTTGCAATCCCCACTTTTTAAAAATGTCCCTAAACATTTGTTTTATAACAGTAGCTGCTATTTTAAAGCAGAGTGGAAGTGGGAAATTTGCAGCTCTTGTTATTCATGTTATGTCCTTTGCTTCTTAAATAAAAGCAGCTGACAGCTCACTGTCTGGATCCGAAGACACGGCTGCAGCTCATCAACTCTTTGTGTCAACAACAAAAAGCTTTTGCTGAAACTTACAGATCAGCACATCTTTACTTGTACAGCAAGACAGAGCTGATCATGTTTTCTTCAAATTTTACAGGGATCCCATCTCTCCTGAACCCTTCAGAGGTCTTTGTGTTGATAAAACAGAAACAAAATGAGGTTTGTATTACAACACAAACTGCAGACTTGCACAGCAGAGTGTTCTGAAACTGTTGAGTCAGCATCAGCGATACGGATATATACAAGTGTGAGATTACAACCAGCAGGACAAGCAGTGGCAAGAGAGTCGTCAGCGAGTTCAAGCACTCCATCAACCCCACAGTCACAGACACAGGTGAGTTCGTAGGTTGAGCTGACTTTAACAGCACAGCTGTTTATAAGGGTTGCTGTTCCATGCTCAGAGTGGTCCTCTGTGTGTGGTAAAAGCAGTGCCTCGTCAAATCCTCACAGCAGGCTCCAACAGTGGGCTCATTTTCCTTCTGCTTGTATGTGATGTGGAAATAGTTTCATCCAATAAGAAGCTTCCTGTTGTGGTGGGTGGATTCTTATACCACACTTGTTCACCTTAAAGCACCTTGACGGTTGTAATTTAAATCTGAATTCAATTGAATATTTCTGCTTGGTTTATGCATTTATTTTGAAAGGTTCTGCACTTGATAGACATCCGACAGTTTGAAAAAGAAAACAAAAGTGACACACTCTCTGTCTAAAGGTGCTGATGGTCTTTTTCTGCTTGTTGTATGAAACATGAGCACAGCGATGCTACCCTGCAGTTATTAACCAAACGGCTGCAGATGCATTCATTACTTACTCTTCTGACATCCAGCTCACTGCCAGCAGCTTTGACATCACCTCTGTTACAGATATTTGAAAGTGTAAAACAAGAACTCTTTTTAGCCTGCCTGGTAGCTGAGTCTTGACACTTTTTTTTTGCTCTGCATGTTTCACAGAAGAAGACTCCAAAGAAAGAGGACACAAGGATGGAGGTGACAAGGATACATCTTTTCCTATTATTATATTAGTTCTTTTATGCGGACTTCTTGTTGTTGTTATTGCTACTGTAGCTGTAAATATCTACAGAAAAAAAAAAGAAATCAAAATGCCAACATGATGGAAAGTGTAAACACTTTAAAAATGTAAATGTCAAGTTAGCAAGCAAGGATACTAACAGAGGTGCTGTGGGTATCAGAGTCAGAATACTTTATTATTTCCTAAGGAATTTATATTAGCACTGTCCCCTCAACCCTGCAACAGGGGTTCACCACCTCCCAACCCAGAGTCAGCTGATCTTCACCGCTCACATTTAGGAGTCCTACAAACATTTGAAGTCGAACACTACAGCTTGACTGGCCTGATGTTAAATGGATAGAACACCTCTGAAATGAATAAGAGCGAAGACTGTCTGCAGGCTTTCTCATCCGCATTAGTGTCTGGAAGAAAGCCCAGAATTCTCATTTGTAAACCCTGATATAAACATCCATCCATCTATGATATCTTGTTATGTTATGTAATTTATATGTTTAAACCTTCCCAAATTTCCTTTGTCTTCTGAAAGATAAAAGACCTTTACAGCGTGTCTTTTATCCTGTCCTGACCCTATTCCCGATCCTGGTTGTTGTAAAGACCCACCTTTTAGCACATCCTAGCACACCCACTCACTTCACCAGATGCACCTTGTTTAGTTCTCTCACCTTTGATTGGATGTGGTGCTTGTCCTTAATTGCCATGTTAGACCCCTAATTAAAGGTTGTGAATTATTATGTAGTTTTAGTTTGCATTATTCTCCTGAATTAGAAGAAGCTGATAACTATTGCATTTGTTAAAATGATTTGCATTACATTAGACTGCTGATTTATTGTGGATGCATGATATTGTTTTATGATGCATTATACTGCTGAGCTATAAGAAATACTGTTTGCAGAAAGTCATCGTCTTATTTGTCTGATTAGAAGAGAGCAGAATATGCTGGAGTTTTCTGCCCCATCTCAGCACGAGCAGATAAACGGGGAGCCAAGGTCGTAGCTTAGGCGCTGTGTGAGAGAAAGAATGTGAATGTTTAGGCTTTTATGATAAGGTGGAGGCACCAGAGGCTATAAGAGTTTGATCAATGCTCCACTATTTTGAGATCTGATGCTGTCTGCATTCAGTTTCCATCTCCCACGCGTGTGATCATTAAAATCATCGTTTGACTCAACCCGGCCGGACCAGTGTTGTTATTGTGGTTTTTCCTCTTGTATCCATCCCCAATATTTGAATCCGTAACAACTCACCTGTCACGTGTTATATAAGGACTGCATTCACTTTTGGCTCACTCTTTCTTCACTCCCACACTGGGCGGCAGTGGAGGTGAGATTCTGTTTGGGTTTTTGATTTCATGCGTTGTTTAAGGTAATGAGTAACTTAGATCTGTTTTCTTTCAGCGTTGGCAATTCATGTGTCTTTCCTTATTGATTTTGAGAATAAAAGGAGAAGCCTATGAGTGATGACTGCTTATTCACATTCTAATCGGATGAGCCCATGATGATGACTACTTAAACTCTGAGCCTTCCTTCCTTCATAACACTGAATCTGCCAGGGGGATCTTCATGTTAAAAGGCAGTTTTTCCTTCCCACTGTTGCCACAGTGCTTGCCCATAGGGGGTCATATGATTGTTGGGTTTTTGTATGGTCTAACTTACAATATAAAGTGCCTTGAGGTGTCTGTTGTGAATTGGCGCTGTATAAATAAATTGAATTGAAAATTTTCTTTTCTATCCTCTCAGCTACAGCCTTGGTGCTGTTAAAGGGTGTTGAGCAGCTGTTGTGTGGATCAATACTGAAATATCGATTCTAAGAGATATTTATGTTCTAGGTCTGATTCTCATATTAAAATATCGATGTTTTAGTAACGTTGGGGTAAATTGTTAGTTTATGATTTACGGGACACAGTGGAAAGTGTCTAAACGATTGGTAGGAACTACTTTCTTCCTCCGTCTGTCCAACACGTTCTCACTCCCAACTCGTCAAACGTGTGACGCATGGTCAGGCTCCCTCTGCTGCACTT